ACTATATAACCGAGCGTTCAGCATACAGAAGACAACCCTGGGAACAATTAAACAGTGGCTGTAGCACAGAATAAAGTTTCTGTGACTAAAGGTAGTGCGAATTACAAGCATGCTCACCCCAATATCTCTATCAGAAATTGCACAGGTTACTAAATGTTTTATGAAACAGAATCCTTTGCAACAGGAACGTATTGGATTGAGTGAAGTAAGGATGAATGACCCTATTCTGCTTGTAAAACGCTTGGATGCCTGATGTGTCAGACAATGAGCAGGGGATGCAGAGCACAACTGGTCTGACAGAACGTGCTGGCACAGACTGAAGGAAAGCACCACAAGGGGCTGGAGCTGGTGCTCTTCTGACGAGCAGGTAGAGGAGTGAGGCACAAATGTTTGCAAAGAAAAGGTTAGATACGCAAACACTAACTTGTTTTTTTTAGATTAAATAGTTAGGGCTCATTTGGAATTGAAGTCCCAGGTTACAGTTGCCTGGAACATTTGGGTGACTGCACTTGCACCAGTATTACTGGTGAGTGGACTGCCACAACTTTCAGAGTCGAAGCGCGGGTTCCTGCGTGTGTAGTTCACTGCTAAAGACTCAGTGACAGAATCGGTGCTCATTCATTTAAAAAAGCATGTGAAACTCAGGAAAAGGGATTTTAAGGCTGAGAGATATGAAAAACATACAACAATTAACATGACTAACAACAATCAAACACCAAAATCATCCCGTACTTGTTCTATACAGCAAGAACTCATTCGCTGCCTTAACAGAAAACTCTCCACAGACCTCTTAGGATTAGCTCTTGGTATGATAAAATCGTTTCAGTTCAGAAATGTCATTTTACAGAAAACCTGCAATGAACAGGATGTGTTCATGCTCCAGACCCTCTGGCTGTCCCTCAAAGTAGGATGAAAACCACCTTTACAATATAAAACAAGGAGAACACTCCATCTAAGTCGCCAACAGCAACTCCTGATTCTCACTGTCCTATCCACCACACAGGTTTCAAGCTATCCCAATGAGGAAAGCCAATAATAAATAAAAGCTTTTTTTGCTATATTGAGTTCTGTGTCTTACTGTCCAATGGATCCTAAAAACACAAGTGGTGTTCAGCCCTTCCAGTCTATTGACAACAGGACATTAATTCACCTCAGTTTATCCAGTTCCAATGAGCCCACTGAACCACCTTCAAATTAATTCCTTTTATTCATGTATCCTAAGCGACTGAAGGTGAAATTCTGAGAGAGTTTTATCACCTACGCTTCATAATTTTGGACATTTGGAAATACAGTGCCGGACTGATTTCTAGCCTTCAAAGGATACAAACACTGTATTGCAAATGCTGTAAAGAATACAGCACAATTGTTTTGAGGACTTTCGGGTTTGGGTTTTTTTGTATGGTTTTGTGAGGTTTTCTAATAATCTTTCAATGTAGTAGACTAATACATATTTCTCAATAATACTGTTATTACCAGCTACTGCCACAGGACATAACTAAAAATTAAGCAGAGCAGAAAACCTCCTACAAAAAATGACACTACAGTTAGGTAAAGTTCCACATTAATTTTCTTCTACTTTTCTGCACATTTCCCGCAGGTCATCAGTTAGTTAATAACTTGTGCCACCCCTTCAAAAAAGCATGCTTCTTTTCCATTTTGTTACTGGCTCAGTGGTCGTGCACACCTTTCTGTGTCTTGGAATGCAAGAAGAAACCCACTGAAATCTGCTTTATCATCGTATGAAAAGGGGAAGAGGAAGTATGTCAACAAGAAAAATCCTTATTTTAGCAATAGATTAAAGGCAAAACCTTTACAGGAAGTACTACAGAAAAGCTGACAAATGAACAAACCAAACCCCACTGCAAATACCAGGAGCTGTTTAAGGAAAGATGTCAGTGCTGCATGTGATTTCTCAGATGTTATTTTCACCTTGTCGCAGGTGCAAAGACAATCAATAGAAGGCACCAAAGCACTTCATAGTCAACATTACTGCAGCTTTTTAACCCAAAACTCAGTCATCAGTAGGACTTGGCACCTTCATTATGGTCTACATAGGTCAGATCACAGGATCAGGGATTAGGACAATTGGAATGTGGAAGCTCATAAACAAAGCAGTGACCAAAAGCCTGTGTGTGTACTGGGAGCTGCTGTCAGCAACTTAGGCTGGTCCAAGCTCCAGCTGAGGTTAGCAGCTCATTGCACCAGGTCAGGTACTGAAATTAGCCACAAATTTCAGCCCTGTTTCCATCTCTGCTATTTGTTGGTACAGGGTTGTATTCATAATGCGGAAAAAGAAAACAACAGTAGTGAATGGAAACAGCTTTTTGATAGAAGAAATAACTAAAATGGACCATGGAGTGCTCTTCATTTTGAAGGACAACTGCATAACTTCCTCCTCTTCCTACATCTACCAAATCACCTAGCTCCTTGTACTCATGGGTTTTGAGGAATTCAAGGTGAATGAACAGTGCAACCCAGAAAACAAAATGTTTTTAAAGAAAATGTTTGAGGTTTTGTTCAAGTAATGCTCAGCATCTGGTGTCTGCCCTGAGTTATCTGCAGAACTTAGAGTCCTGTAGACAGGCGGGTGCGTAGAGAAAAGACGCGGAAGTGGAAATGTTTGATGCCAGAAAGGTCGCAAGTTTTCAGGAAGCTAAAGGACAAATATTTTATTTGGTACCTCTGCAAGCTCTCCAAACAGATAATTAGAGTAATTTTTGCCAGAATCATTAAATATTTCCTACACATTGCATTACAGGTTAAAACATAGCTGCATAAAATACGTTGTGGGTCTGAAGTGATGAAATTTAGTTTCACTTAATATGCTTTGATGGTTCAAATTGCTTTAATTTTTTAACATTTCTGACTTTTACAACTGAAGATATGATATTCTCTGGGGCATTAAGCTAATTTATTTTGATAGAGAGATTAAATACTCAAACTTTCTTTGAAGAAAAACTTAGGAAAAAAATCAGATTAGGTTGGAAATAGAAAACTCACATTTTGTGACTGCAAGAAAAATACCTCTAGAAATAGATACAATCAATCTATTTTCTCATCTTTTAGAAATAAGATTGATTTTTCCTGCAGCAATATGTCTGTGCTGAAAATTAAAAATGCATTAAAGGACTGATTAGGATGTATTTTATATATCCTCCTTTTCTCCCACCCACAAATAACTGGCATAGAATTAACCGATTAAAAGCAGAGAGGTAAATAAAATAATTCAACATTTACTACATTCTGGGGTGAAGAAATGCACTCCCAGCAACTTTTGCATAGCCTGCAGAACTCTGTATATTACAAAAAAGGCTCCATTTATTATCCAGATTATTTCAGTGAAAGCCATAGCAGAGTCTGTCTGATTCACTTGCTGCAGATAGGGAAAATCAGCCCATCAAAAAAAGAGAAAACTCAATTTTAGAGGAGTTCATGATTTCTTTCTCCTTGTCTGTCTGTCTTTCCCCACACAGCAGACTTTTCAATCTGACAGACAAGTGAAACTTTATAGTAGTAACACATCACTTTTCCTGAAAAGTGCTACTCATACAGAAATCAAACTACTATCTTGATAACATAAGTTCACAGAAAGGGAACTCTGCAGGTACCTACTGTTAGCTCAGTGTGAGTGACACAGACTCTCTGATCCATAGCAATATCCCAGCCTAGGAGACTGAGGGGCCAAAGGTGTCCCAGCTGACTGTGATGGACAAACACACACAGCTACCACCCCCTGGTCCCTCAGAAAACTGAACTTGCTTCTGCGGAAACCGATGGCAAAACTCATTTGAGCATCAGTACAAGCTAGGTGAGCCCTTGGGGAAAAGCTCCCTGTACCACCAGCTGTGTTTTCAAACCACTGTGGTGTGTGGCACAGCACTCCCTATGTAGCATGTTGTTTTGCCTGTTTTCAGAAGCCAAAGGCAATGTCTGGAGTCTGCTGCATCTCCAGGTGCCAGGTCCGTGTGAGGCAGGTGCTTCCTTTAACCATGTACCATTTGATGTTTCAGCCCCTGTATCTTAAGGACAAGCTTTTCAGCAGCCTGAGCAGGCCCTCCCTGCTGTATTTAAGTATACACTGCTTCAGTGCTGGACCAGTATCAGCCCCAGTTCAGATGCTGAGGGTGTCTGTTCCCCCCCACCCCAGCTCTCTGTCCATTTTGGCTGACGACTGTGGGCTTGCACAGGTATTGACACTTTCAGCTTTGCAGTATTAACATTCAGGTAACAGGGAAAGCTTTGTATCAGTTCATATAGTCAAAACCTATTCCAGAAAAGGTTTCTGAGTGAACAAGTAACTATCAGTAATAAGCAAGTTATCTACCTAGATACTGAGTTCTGGGTAATATTGGATTTTACATTACAGTGACAGTGCTCTAAATGTAACGTGCTTTTTCTCTGTTAGAGTCAGCACTCACTGTCAAATCCTTTTTTCTTTTTTTGGTCTGTGCTGCAGCTTTAACAGCCGATGTGTAAAGTTTGTGGTACATGAAGAGCACAACGTGGTGTTATTTCAGCCCTCGGAGAAGGATCCTCCCCAAAAGCCAATGACTGCACTGAACAAGCCTGCCAAACGCCCGTCTCTCCTCCCTCTTACATACCAAACACCTTTTAAACAGCTTTTTGTCTAGGGCAATTGTCAGATATCTCATAATATTGTTCCCCATGAACCTGTTACCCATCCGCTCCCCAACATTACGCAGAGCTGCTGGCTGCAGAGCATACCTCGGACGCACTTTGAATACTGCTGAAACCCATCTGTTCCACGCAGCAGCGAACACGGCAATATTCCCGTTCCTCAGGAACAGCAGCACAGAAGTCGTCTATTGTGGTTTAATTAGCAGTAACCCCAGGCTGGGGGAAGCATGAGATCCCACTCTGCTACCTACAGCACTAGTGTGAGGTGGGAAGGAAGGATAAAGCCCCCCAGGCTCATCCAGCACTGCAGCACGGGCAGAGCTGCCCCCCCACCACCCCAGCACAGCACCAAGTCAACTCACAGGATCTCCAGGTCGCGCAGGGCTCGGAAGGCTCCATCTTCGATGCAGCTGATCTGGTTGTTGTCCAGTTGCCTGCAGAAAGGAAGGGAGAGGATGAAGGCTGGCGGGGACGGGCAGAGCTGTCTCGGAGCACCAGGTTGGGGCTTCCCCGTGCCCGAGGTGTCCCTGCCCCCCCTCGCAGCGCCTGCTCCCACCCGGCGCAGGGCT